CTTAACTTGAAACTTGAGACTCTTTACTTAGCTTGAAACTCTAAGCTCTTTGCTTGACTTGAAACTTGGTCTTAAAAATGAAGTTAAAACGTTCAATAGAGACTCTTGAACAACTTTAAGAACTTGCTTGACTTACTTCTTAACTCTTGAACTTAACTCTTGACTTCTAGCTAACTCTCCTTGAATTGGATTTATGGATTCAAGGTGTTTGATCACATGTTACGGATGAGTTCGGGAGGTTTAAATGTACCTTAGAGTGTTGGAAACAACCATACAACATAGGTACAATACCAAGGAACATGCATGGGAATGTATGAAATGAAAGGGGTCACTTGGTGTCCTTGGCGCTCTGCAAGGCGCGGAGCGCCAGCCCTAAAAATTCAAAGGGGTCTTGTTGACGCTCTGATAGGCGTGGCGCCCCAAGGGGGAAAATTCAGAAGACCTTTTGGGGCGCGCTGGCAGGCGCGACGCGCCAACCCCTCGCCCAGAAAACTCGACTTTTCTCCCTCGTTTCTTCAACTCTAAACCACCCTTACTCCAAGGGCTTCAACCCCAAACACTAAGGATCATCATATCCCTCAACATACCATGGATTACAACTCAAAACACAACCGAAAACAAGTCCCAAATCAACAAGAATCTCAACATCAAAATCAACAACAATACCAACACAACCCAACAACTTCAACAACAAATCCAATCTTTTCTCAAATCATAAAATGAGCTTGGTGTGTGGAGGAAAGGATCAACCCACAGAAAGAACTCACATACCTTGATAGGGATCACCCCCGACGATATCCACGAGGATCCTTGACGGAAACTTGTTGCTCTCCTCTTCCTTCTTTTCTTTTTCTCCTTCTTCTCTTCTTCTTCTCTTCTTCACTCTCAAGCCCTAGCTCTCTTACTCTTTTAAAATGGAACAAAATGATCCACAATAAGCCTAAAACCACAATATAACCTCAAAGAAATAGCTAGGGAAAAAAAACCAAAATGCCCTTAAATTTCCGGACGGATTCCCTGCCAACTGCCCAACTTTCGAAGGGTATAACTCACTCATACAAACTCGAAATCGAGCAAACTCGGTGGCGTTGGAAAGACCATTCCACGGGCTATGAAACCATAACTGGAACTACTTCTAACTCATCCTGATCTAGAAGTTATGACTGCTCAAAGTTGGCAAAAAAACTCATCCTTTTCTATACTTGGCCAAATTTTCCAGATTTTTTTCCAATTCTTTCCAAAAGTGATTATTTCCAATTCTAAGCCTCTTCAAAGTTATTTCAAATTGTCGGATGTTACAGGTTTACCTCTCTCCGGGCTGCGAACGAGAGACCACGAGCTAAAGATACCGAGCTGCCACCACCACAAACATAAACCTCGAAGATTCCGATAAACAAAGAAGGCGAGTGAAAATGAAAAGGATCGAAAAAAGGTCTTCCTTGATAGTTCGATTATATCTCCTATATATTTATATACTTCTATATCTATTTCTCTCTATCTCTATCAGTAGAAAAATCCAACTTTTCCCAACCTTTTTCGTCCAACTTTTTTCCAACCTCTAGATAATGAATAAGAAGGGATATTTATAGGAGGAAACTAAGGCAGATTTATGGAGGGAAATCGAGTAGAAATTTGGATGAAATCCCATTTGAAATTTGAATTTTTCTTTGGATAAGACTGAAGAACTGTAATAGTACGATTCTTATACAATTCTTCGACGGAAAAAGAATGGTTGCCGTCCAATTTTGGAGGAAGGACGAAGAAGATGTGAGATCGCTCCACCTGGAAAATTCGTGTATGAGCTTGTACAAGAGGAGAGCTGGGTCGATTTTGCTGGACTGGGCTCGCGATTCTGGGTTGAGTCGCTGCTGGACTGGAGTTCTGGGTCGCGATTTTCTGCCGGGTTCGGGTTTCGCGGAGAAGAAGAAGAAGACGCAGGTGGGGTCGTCTGGTATTGTACGCTGGACGTTGTTGGGTTTGTTGTATTGTTGAAAGAATGGGTTCTTTGGTATTTTAATTGATGGGTTGCTGAATGTAATCTTTTGGTATTATTGGTGGGCTGGGAAATCTGGAAATTGTTTTGGGTTGATGTTGGTTGAATTGTATATATGGGCTGGAAGTTGGATTAAGGAAGATTAAAATGTGGTTAAATCCACAATTAGGAAATGGCCACGTGAATTGCAATTTTGGCCAATGGGAATTAAGAAGTTAGCCAAATTTAGTTTAATTGGTGATTCGACTAAAAACTAAATAAGACGAATTAATATAAATTAATGAATGAACTTCTTAATCTTAATGAAATAAAATAATTAACTAAATTATTAATTAATTAATTCAAAATATAAATTATAATTATATAAGTTAATTACCAAAATACTTAAGTAAAAATAAAATCTTTTTTTTAAAATGATTTTTGAATATGCATAAAATGTACTAATTATACATAAATATAAAATGACATATATCATTAAAAATAATAAAAATGACGAATTTATTCAAAATAACTCGCAAACTCTTTTGAATTTTATAAAAACTAATTATTTTTAAATCGTTTGAAATTGAAGAAGCTAGATAATTAATCTGTACGTGGAGGTCCAAAATTGGGTGTCAACAATATAAACATCCAAAAAATATTTCATTGTGGCAACGTATACTTCCTCCGTTCAACAATAGTTGTCCATTATACTATTTTGAAATGTCTAATAATACCTGTCCACTTTATGAAATCAAAGGATAAATTTACAGTTAATTCCTAATTTATCTTATCATTAATTATAGTCATTTCCTTATTATATTTTTCAAGACATTGTATTTATTATATTCAAAGGGTGATATTGTAAAATTACCCTTTTATTTATAGTTTCTTAATGTGTCAAGTCAATAGTGAATAACTATTATATTTATATATATATTAATAGACGACAATATTTGGTCTGATCAATTTTCTTAATGTTTTTGTTCAATGTCAAAAAAGCTTAGATGTGTAATATGAGTAAGTTTTTCATTAATGTCATTTGTGACATCAAATGGGGCATATTTTTCCTTATAAATTATGTTCATTTGTAAGGACACACCAAAATAGAGAAAGCAATAAAGGGTAGAAAGAGTAATCTACGGGTTATTTCTTAATTAGTTTGTAAAAAAATAGTGTGAAAGTAATATTATATTATCGTGAGTTATATTATGCAAATCAAATTAATGTTAATCTTGTGGGTTAAATCAATAGGAATTCACCCAAAGATTCAAGAACATTCAACAAAGACGAAAATCTAGCATTTTGAATTTTTGCGATAATATCTCATCCTACTTTAATATTTTAATTCAAAATAGGATTATGAACTACGAGCATTATATAAACCACCAAAAATGAGATTTTATTTAAAACACAGTATTTTGGGATATAACAAACTTTACTTGCTGAAAAAAAGGTTTTTAATCACTTTTTTTTATTCGAATTCACAATTCTAAGGTTGGAAGTGAAGGGTGCTTACCATCGAGTAACTCTCTCTTATCTATGTAATATGTTAGTTATGATATAATTGAGACATTTTTTAAAAAGCCGAAATCACAATTCTCTATTATATGAGTATATGTAAGTTGAAGTTAAACAAACTATGATTACTAATTAACCTTACTGTTAATTATAACCGTTATCAAACTTAAGAAATTCCAAACTATAACGAATCAATTTAATATGATAATGATATAATATTTTTTTTTAAAACGAAAGTAGAAATTATCAAAACCAAAATTTTAATTATTGTATTTGTGTATATCATATCATGTCCACCTTTAGCTAGGACAGGCAAGCTATTCCCCCATTTGTAGGTGTATTTATCAGACATATTTTCAGAATAATCAACTTCAGATAAACCAACTACAATTCACAGTCCTTGACTCAGTTTCTAATTCAAACATTCCTTTATTAAGATTAAGACCACTGAATCTAAATATACATTTGAATATTAAGATCTGAATATTAAATGCTAATTAAGATTGCTGTTTTCTCAACATATGATTATATAAAAATTATCTTTGTTTACGTGATTAAGCCAAACTTCCTTTTCATTAACAATCCTTAATTCCTGTTCAATGGAGATTAATTACTCCTTAGCTTCATTGCTTCTCTTCTTGTCCTCTCTTCTTATTGTAATTAGACAATGGAGAAATAAAAAACAAAATAAGTTGCCTCCAGGTCCATGGAAACTTCCCTTCATTGGAAGTCTGCATCACTTAATCGGAGGAGGACTTCCACATCGCATTCTTAGAAATTTATCCCAAAGATATGGACCTATTATGTACTTGCAACTCGGGCAAGTTCCTACCGTGGTCATATCATCACCTACTATGGCAAAACAAGTTCTAAAAACTCATGATCTCGCCTTTGCTAATAGGCCACAACTTACATCTACAAGCATCATATTTTATGACAATAAAGATATTGCATTCAGTCCATATGGTGATTATTGGAGACAAATGCGTAAAATTTGCATTTTAGAACTTCTTAGTTCAAGTCGTTTGGTGCCATTCGACAAGAAGAACTTTCGAGTCTCATGTCATCACTTCGTTCCATGAGTGGAGCTACAATCAACATGACTGAAAAGATTTTTCTGCTTAGCAACTGTATAACTTGTAGAACCGCCTTTGGAAAAATATGCAAAGATCAAGACAAGTTCATAACAATTATGAAGGAAGTACTCATATTAGGAGCAGGATTTTTCTTGGCTGATCTGTTCCCTTCATGGAAGTTACTTCACAACATAAGAAGTGAGAAAACTAGAATGGTGAACGCGCATAAAAAAATTGATGTAATTTTGGAGGAGATCCTGAATGAGCATATCGAAAATAAAGCAGCTGGAAAGAAGGGAAATGGTGAGTTTGGAGACGAAGATTTGGTTGATGTTTTCCTAAGGGTAAAAGAGAACGCGGACCTTCAATTTCCAATCTAAAGCTGTGATTTTTGTAAGTTTTCTCCCTTTCCTAAAGAGAACACGGAACTTCAATTGATCAATTTCCTAAGTTTGATTTGTTTGTTGATGCAGGACATCTTTCTGGCTGGAACTGAAACTTCATTTACAGTTCTTGTGTTTGGGTGTTTACAGAGCTAATGAAGAACCCACATATCATGGCGAAGGCCCAAAGTGAAGTGAGACGAGTTTTTAAGGGGAAAAAAAGTTATGATGAAAAAGATATCGAAAAGTTGACATATTTAAATCTAGTGATAAAGGAGACATTAAGGCTTCATGCTCCAGTTCCTCTTCTAGCACCTAGGGAACAAACAGTTATTGATGGATATACCATACCTATTAACACTAGAGTAATAGTCAATGGATGGACGATAGGGAGAGATCCCGAAAGTTGGGATGATCACGATAATTTTATACCAGAGAGATTTGAAAATTCTTCTGTCGATTTTATAGGAAATCACTTTGAGTTTATTCCATTTGGCGCAGGAAGAAGGATTTGTCCCGGAATGGTATTTGGTTTAGCTAATGTCGAACTTCCTCTAGCTCAGTTACTCTACCACTTTGACTGGAAACTGCCAAATGGAACTAAACCAAATGATTTGGATATGACGGAAACACATGGATTAAGTGCGGCAAGGGCAAAAGACCTGTATTTAATTGTTGTAGATCATAAAAACGATGAAGAAAAATTCTGATTTAATTTTTTTTTTGCTTTGGTTTAATTATGTATGTGTATCCATTTGAATGTTAAGGTGTATGCATTTGTTGGTTTTACGATTGCTTCAATCCATCGGACTAATTAACTACCAAACATGATATTTACTTATGTAGTATTTAATACCCGCATATCTCACCTCAAACAGACAGTATCATACTACTCACTAGTTTACAACAACTACACAATTAATTATCTATTGTATGATTGTAC